ATGTAACAATGAATTCCACCATAATGTACAATTAAATTAATGCACCAATAAAAATGGAAAAAAATTAMAATGATAGATTTACAAATTTCATGTACAGCAATGACTACAGGAGAAAACAATGTAAATAAGCTGTTATCAAAAACTCTTGAAATACATCTGAAGATATCAGTCTACTCATTACAGGGCACATTATAGGAACATCCTTCAGTAATGAACTTTACCTCATATCCCACTTTTCCTGGCAGTCATTTACTCACTCCCCCCCCCAACACATTCCCTCCCCCTCCTCTTTCCCTCCCTTCTCTTCTCCCTTCCCCTTCCTCTCAACTGTCCCATAGTACCTTACCCAAGGCTGCTGGTAAGGTAAATGATGAGACAAAGCTCGCTGGCCAGACATTCCCTGTCCCACAATAAGACAGTACTATTCCTTGAAGTTTGGGGGACAGCAGATCATTGGGGGCTGAATGGCTAGACAGCCCATGGAGTCAACCACAAGAGAGATGAYGCTCCTTACATAGCTTGGCATTCCAACAGTCACCCTGTCAGGAATGAGCTACTCATTTCTTTCCCAGTCAGGTGTCAGTTTTGCTCTGGGTTTCATATAAAGAGGAAGGACAAAAGGAAGCAATTGTTTCTTTGATGAATCTTCTTTGTTGGTTTTCCAAAATACTGTAGCTTTTCAAAGCAAAAATGAYAACATCCCAAATGATTATGTTTACTCAAAAATACTAAAATAATAAAAACTAAACCATTGCCTAGAGTATTTCTATTAAAAAAAAAACTATTCTGAGAGGACTTATTTCTGCCTGCTAAAACATGACATTTAGCCTGCCACAAAAGTCTCATGAGATAATAATTAGTAAGCTTCAAATACAGAGGACTCACAGGATTCAGGGAATCGGGAGGGAAAGCAACCTTAGATTACAGTGGCCATTTGCTTCATTGTGTACATGAGAAAATAAGCAGAGATAAATTAGGAGGCTGCCCCAGAATGAGGTAAGTTTTGACTACAACTTGGTTGTTCTGACTCCCTATCAATACTTTCTGCAACTCTCCCTCCCAAGCTCACAAAGAAGAAAATGCATTAAAGTTACCTTTTACAACAGTGACACAAATAATTTGTTTCCAAACAGGGAATCAGCAGAACTTGAATCCCACATTTAGGAATACCATAACAAAACACATTTTTGAAAACAAAGTGGAGTTGGAAGAAGCATTTATTAATAATTCCTAAGAATGGTTTATTGAGCTTAAACAAGCATGAAATCAAGAAAATTAATAAAATACASGATAATGCTACAATAATAAATAATATTTTGTTCTCTGTCATCAACTCAATAACATAATAAAATGGCATACACTATAATTTCCATTCTAAGAAAAGCCATTCTCTTTTTTTTTTTCCTTTTTTAAACAAGAAATATTTTGCTCTGTCAATCAAGTAGTATCTAAATTGGCCCTTTTGGTCCCTGCCCAGAGTTAAGCATAGTATAAAGGCTATGCTAAAAACCACCAAGATCTGGGGTATTCATAGACTCATCCAAAAGTCATTGACCTTTGGCTGCTCCATTTTTAACCAGTCATGCTGGGCTCCCGTATTGCTGTCCATATGCTGCTGCAAAGTGGCATGTGCTGGCCACTAGTGTCTCCACTGTCCACACCCCAACATGGGAGTGAAAACAGAAAAAGCTGTTCAGCTTGGCAAAGCCCAATTCAATTAATTCATGAGTGTTTTTCTTTCTAAAGACAAATACATAAAGATTAAGAAGGCATTCAAATCCATAATTTTAGCCTTAACAAGGGTATTACTGACCTCATTTAATTGGAAATAAGAAACTTAAATGATCAAATATTTCCTAAATAGGTTCTCAGCTTTGAAATAAAATAAAACAGTAAAAGCATAAGCAGAATAGAATCTTGAAGGAATCGTTACTATTACAAAAGCATTTCATCTTACAAAGGAATTCATAACAGGCTTCCTTAAATAATGCTGACCATTTAGAATACTGCAMAATATTTATGCACAACATGTTAAAAGGGTACTTTAAGTGGGCCCTATTAGTGATAACAATATTGGCTGACTCAGCAAAACTTATTCAAGCTCTTGTTGGACACTACTGGGATGAACACCATTGGTTGGATCACAGAATGTGTCATTTGGATTTGAGAAGAATAGAAACATGCAGAATTTTTAATCCAGATGCAACTATACCCTGAGATTTTTTTCAGAGAAAAAGTGACTGTTATAACTATAGGAAGAGCCTGGTGTGGTGGTGCATGTCTGTAATCCCAGTAACTCCGGAGGCTGAGACAGTAGAATCACAAGTTCAAGGCCAGCCTCAGTAATTTAGTGAGGCCCTGAGCAACTTAGTGAGACCCTGTCTCAAAAAATAAAAAGGGCTAGGGATGTAGGTCAACAGTAAAGCACCCCTGGGTTAAATCCCTAGTTAACAACAAGAAAAGAAAGAAAGAAAAAGAAAAAAGAAAGAAAAGGAAAAAAAAGACAACTATAGAAAGAAATAAAGTAGCCACTCCTCCAGAAGTCAGTTGCATCCTATGGTACATATACCATACTGGATTATTATTCTGAACAGGAATCATAAACTTTCACTTCCCATACAGGCCATTAAACCACATTAAACCACTTCTATTTGGATCAATGGCCCAAAGGAAATGACCAACTGTCTACATACCAATGTGAGGACATCTGCTATGACTGATGTTTGGAAAGCAGCTGACCCCTGTGTAAACCCTAAGTCAATTCATGGGGTTGTGCAAAGGCAGATAAAAAGGTTTAGGAAGAGGAAAAATGAACTTCCGGGGGGGGGGGGGGGCGGGGGTTGTAGCTCAGAAGTAGAGCGCTCACCTAGTGCATGCGAGTCCCTGGGTTTGATCCTCAGCACCATATAAAAATAAATAAATAAAAACAAAGGTATTGTGTCCAACCACACACACACAAAAAAAATATATATTAAAATAAATTTTAAAAAAGAACTTCCAGATTATAACTATAGCATCAGTGTTTGTTTCTTTGTTTAAAGATAGAATATAAATACAAAACGATCTCCATTCTCTAAAAATATTTTCCAACTTAATGAACAGCCTAGAACCACCATGGAAAAGAATGTCAGGAAAATGCAACACTCTGCATACAGTTCACCAGCTGCCATGCTTTTGTTCTTCCAAACATAAAACTGAAGATTTCTTTCAGATGCATTACTACCTAAAAATGAATCCAACCAGAATTTATCAGGCAAAAATTATCATATGTTATTCAGCAATTGTGTATGAAGCCTTTACAATGTGCCAACACCGAACAACCTGCTGGTCCTGAGAACCTGCTTGTCTTTGGAGAGACTGCAAGATTAGACATGACTTCCTATTTTCTTCAAGTAAACATAAGCTGTAGGAACAACTCTTAACCTGCAAATACACCCTCTTTTCCCTTATAAATCTCAGTACTGGGTAGGATCAATGTCAAGTTTGTATCAAATTCCAATCATTTTAATATGGAGGGTCTTCAAACTGTTCCCTTTGTGCATGTCCATTTCAGCATGGGAAGAGCTGATAGTTCTGACAACAATACTGCCYATTGAAAAATACACCTTCCTTTAACAAAAGATACTTTTTTTTTTCCATGAAGCTTTGTTTCTATTTCCAGCAACAAATGATACAATTGATATATTCTGCAGTCTGCAGTAGTGGTTTCAGGCAAACAGGATACCAAAAGAAAAGCTTAAGAAACAAAACCAAGGTAGGTTGGGGGCAGGGTAGAGAGGTGGCATGGAAGTGGAAATTTGTGGGGTTTATTTCGTTTTTAAGGTGCTGTGATCAAACTCAGGGTCTCTCAAATACAAGGCAAAAGCACTCTACCACTGAACTATTCTAAACCTGGAAGTGAGAATTTGTGATCTAAGAAATTCATGGTTTCCTTTATGAATGGGAAAAGAGAAAAAAAGGGGAAGGTGATGTTTTCAGTTATGAAAAAGACAGAAGTGTGGGCCTCTGGCTAGGTTTTGTTTCAATAATACCCAGAGAATGCACAGCAGGCAAGATCTAACCTATTAACTAAGGCTGATTTCAATGAGAGTAACACAAGTTTGTTAGTGATACAATGGAGATAGCCAACCAAATTGAAGAATTACACCAACACTTATATGACAATTCTTTAAATTATTTTAAGTGTGTTCTGGTGCCAAGAAGAAGTTCATGATTATTAACAGGCCACGGATATCAATTTYATATGGTCATTTTGCAGGCTATGCACCTGTACTGTCCTAGCCTCTTATAAGGAAACTGCTAATAACATGGAATGTTATTGTCACCTATTTCCAAAGACTGAGGGCCTGATGTTAAGTATCACACATGGAAACCAAAAGGCGACCAAAAGCCAAGGCAACCCTGGAGAATACTTCTGAAGCATATTCCCTACAATCAGTAGCGGGAGTGTAGATCTGGAAGTGTGTGCGGTTCCTCCTCGCTCTGGGCCGCGCGTCCCGAACGTTCCTGGCTGTCAGGTGGATGGAGCTGAGCTTTGGCAGGGAAGCCCAGCCTGGCAACGCGGAGTGCCGCGCGGATGGAGAGGGCCAAGCCTCGCGGAGTGCAGCGCGTCCCGAGGCCAGCAGCCTCTCACCTTWGTTCCTTCAGCTGCCCTCGCCGCCAGGAGGAGAGAGACAGCTAAAGAGGAGTGCGGGAGGCGACCCTAATGCCCCGCAGCCCTCTCCGGCACCCTGGAGGAAATCCGTAGGCAAGCCAGACCTTCTCAGGCTCCCAGAAAGCAAGTGAGACAGAGAGGTCAGCAACCCCTCCCGGAACACAAAGGTTGGGCGGTGTGGGAGCGAACGGCGGGGCACGGGGGCGTGCGCCACGGAGCACGCGAGTGTGCGTGTGCGCGCGAGTGTGTGTGTGTGAGAAAGAGAGAGAGTGTGTGTGTGTTTGTGTGTGTGTCTACGCGCGCTCGCGTGCAGGGGGAGGGGAGGAGGTGCTCCTGCCCTTCTTACCTCTCGAARATAAGCCGCACCATGAAGATGCAGAAGGCCAGTGGGAAGGCAAGATAGAGGTCCTCAGCCTGCGGGAAGGTGGCTTCCTCCGTGTTCTTCAGGTCCGCCCAGGTGACATTGTGTGGGAGCCAGAACCTCTCGTTCCAGAACCAGGCTAAGATTCCTGCCATCTTGCTTTGTCCACCCCTGTCCTGCGGCTCCCGCGACCCACCGAGCTTTCCTTAGCGCAGGGCGCTCAGGGATGCGCGCCGGATTGGCCCCGAGACTGCAGCCGCGGCTCCCGCCAGCCGTTGCTGCCGCCTCCTTTGCGGCCGCTGCTCTCGAAGGCTCGCGGCGAGCCCCGGTTCTCTCCTCCCTCTGGCCGCGCTGGGAAAGGGGCCGCCTCGCCTGTCACATGGCAGCCGGGGCCGCTCGCCCTGATTGGCTCGCCCTCGCGTCAAGCAGCTAGGCACACGCGGCCAGCTCGCCCACGCCAGGAGGGCAGGGCGCAGCTGCTGCGCCCAGGGCGCAGGGCCGCAGCTCGCGGGAGCGCTGCCAACCCTTGCGCTCGCCGATCTCTCGCTTTGAGCTTAGGGCAGTGACCTGGTACCGGCCCCCCAAAATCTGCCCCAGCCCCCAAGTTTGCTTGCACATGCTCAGAACGCCGGTTCCTGCCCCACAGTAGTTTCAGGGTTCTAGTCCACTTCCCAAGCGCTGGGAGGCGATGGGGAGGCTGGTGAGCACTGAGGCTGAGCTTGGGAACCTCGGGAACCGGCCCTGCGCTGAAGGAAGACAGCAAAAGAAGAAGTAGGGGGCTCAAAGGCAAAGGAGACAGAAGTAAAAGGAAAAAGGATCATTCACTCCAGCGATTGGAGAGAAGGGTGAAAATCAGGCACTGGGACAAGAGATGGTTTGGCAAGAGATTTTTGCCTCTGCCGCAAGCCTGTCTTTCCCCCATCTTTGACCTTCTGGCTTATTATACTATTGCTTCTCAAACCAGTTCCTTTTATTTTCATTTATGAGGTGGCACAAGAAAGTAGGCACTTAATTGCTATGATTATTAATTGCTGTTTGATGGTGGTAATAATGATGATGGTAAGCAACTCTAGCATTCTGTAATTCTACCCTTCTCAACTAACCTCTCTGAAAATGCTGCTAGACCACATTTTGACTTGGCAGATCATGAGACAACCTCCACTCTGTTTGCCAGACTCATTATTTCTGTCTTTTGAATCTAAAACCTTTAAGGCAATAGAACCGTGAGGCCTAACGCAGGTTCTTACACTCCCACCATGCATTGGTGTGGGTTAGTTCAGTGACCTGTGTACACCTGCTTCCAGGGGGTACTTTGTTCAGTTTTCTCAGAATCGTTCATTTTCTGCCTGATTCTACCACAAGTTCTACTTTCCAATGCGTGTGTGTGTGTGGCGGGGGGGGGGTGTCCACACACACACAGTTTGTTACTCTTCCTCTCCCTCCAGTTACCATCTTTTCATTCCTTCCCTTTAAAATGGTCTGAAGAATGGTCTATACTGCTGCCTCTAAATTSTCTCTTCACCATTGGCTTTGGAACTTTCATTTGAGCAATTGGCTGCCTGCACTGCTCTGAAACTGTTCAAGGTCACCAGTGATCTCCAAGCTGCTAAACACAAAGTTTAATTCTTGTCTTAGAGCCGTCTGCTTAGACTAGGTGGCATGAACAACAGATATTTATTTCTCACACTTCTGAAGGCTGGGAAGTCCAAAATCAAGGTGCTGGCATATTCAGCATCTGGCAAGGGCCCTCCTCCTGGTTTATGGATGGCTGTCTTCTCCTTGTATCCTCCCATTGTGGAAAACAGACAGAGAGGAAGCAAGCTCCTTTTCTATCTTCTTACAAAGGCGTTAATCCTGTTCCATGAGGGCTCTACCTTCAAAAGGTAATAACCTACCAGGTATTCCATCTCCACATACCATTACAGGGGGGGGGGGGCTAGGCTTTCCACATACGAATCTTGGGGGGACACAAACAAGTCAGTGTATAACAGTTCTCAACACCTCTATCAGTAGCTTTTGGTCGAGTTATCAGTTCCTATCTCTTAACACATCCTTGTCTTAGCTTCCAAAAACCACACTCATGGTTTTTCTCCTGCCTTCTGATCCATCTCCTTTCTGGTTACGCCTCATCTTCCTAATCCTTAAAAGTTGGACTCAGTCTTTTGACCTCCTCACTTTTCTAACTGTACTCATTCAATTGCTGTTCTTATTCCTATCTCAAGGATTTCAAGGCTTTCTTCATGATTTTCAATGTCATACTAATAGCTCCTACATTTATATCTCTAGCCATGAACTTTTCCCTGAACTTCAGACTCTTAAATCCACTGTTTACTCAACAACTCCACCTGAATGTCTATAAAAACCACCTCGTGGCCAAGCTGCAAATCTTCTTCGATAAATCTCTCCATCCTTGTAGTCTTGACTCAGACCAAAAATGTGGAGTGTCATTTTTTCCTTCTTTCTTTCTTTCATACTTTCTTTCTAATCCATTACAAGTCCTGTCAGTATCATTACCACAATCTCACCATCTCTCACCACCTCTTTGTTACCATCCTATCCAAACCACCAGTACTTCTCACCTAACCTCCTAACTTCCAGTTTCCACCTCCCTCTCTACACAGTCTATTCTCAGCCAGAGTAATCCTGTTGAAAKTTAAGATCACTCTAGCACTTTAAGAGCTTGTTCTTCTCCATCCTTCCCCAAAGGGAAGCCAAAGTCATTACAATGCTCTCAGAAATTTGACTCTGTATTAACTCTCTGAACTTCATCTGCTCTTTCCTCTCCCTTATTCTGCTGTGGTCAGGCTGGACTCTCCATCTTTCTTGGAGCACATCATTCCATGCCTTACAGCTTTTGGTTTTCTCTGTCCCTAGAACTCTTTTCCTTCAAATATCTATGCCTGCTCTTTAATGTCACTTTCTCTGACAAGCCTTCCCTTACTACCTTAGTTGWTCTACAACACTCACTCCCCAAAGCATACATCAACACAATTCATATTTTACTATTTATTCTCTCTCCCTTCCTCCCCCCACACACAAAGGTAAACTTCAAAAGTTAAAAATCTACTTTTATCAATGGTTGTATCCCCAGCACTTAACCAATGTTTCCCRCCACGTAGTAGCTACCCAAAAAACTATGAATTTATGAATCAACATTACTCTAACCTCAAAAAAAATCTTCTCTATGAGGAGAAAAGTCTGTGTAATTGTGTTGAATATTTATGTATCCATGTTAGACTCATGTGAAGAATAGTGTGGCATAAAGAAGGGATTGGTCCATTTTGTGGGTGGCGAGGAGGCTCATTGAAGTGAGTCTTTGTTGAGGAGTAGATGTCTCTTTCCCCATTCTAGTCTGTGTACTTGTGACTCTCTGAAAGTTGCTTTGGACCAACTACATTCTCATAGGCCAGAGAGATGAGTTTGTTAAGCTGTGTCCCAATCTGTGTGGCAAAAGATCATGTCATGGTAGAACCTGGCCTTCCAAGCCAGCCAGACCCCCTCCTTGTTTCTCAATGTCACCCCATCCTGGATGGCCTGATGGTGCCTTGACTCCTACCTCAGGGCTTCTGTGCTATCCAGAAGCTCCTTCTCAGTGTACAGCAGTGTRTGTTGGCAAGTTAATGACCCCGGACCTGAACTTTGATCATAGGCAATGGAAGCCATGAATAAATTTTTTCTCCTTTTCCTCCCCTGTCCCTTGAACACACCATAGCTTCAATCAGCCTCTCTGAAATTATCCTGTGGTACTTTGAGCTTTTCTCAAGGATRTGACCAACTCAGTAACTTGTTCCCTTGGTTCCTCTCCCTCTTTCTCTATTTCACCCTCCTTCCCCCTYGTTCCTGCTTCCCTAGAATTTTCTATAGAGGCCAAATAGGAGAGCAGTCATCAACTTTGAGAAGCTGGTGGGATTTCAGGAACATTTTGAAAGATGGATTTTGTTGGGCACTGGAAGGAGGATTCAGTACTTATCTGGGAATCTTGCACAAGTCGCTTAGTTTCTAAGAGCACATTAAAGTCATCCTGTCTAAGTTATATAACAATAGTACTTGTCTTACCTATGTCACTTGTAATGAAGCTCAAATAAGATAAGAAATGGGAAAGGGCTTGTAAACTGTTTGCTTCTGTGCACAAGTATGGTGCGGCAGCCACTTGTATGTGTCTAGCGTATTCCTTCAAGTAACAGCCCCATCCAAATTATTACCTCTGAAACACAAAGAGTAAAATACTCTACTTGGGCACGTTTTATTGATCCAGGGGTTTATTGATTGATCAACAAGTTAGTGCTTGTTCTGATACAGGGATATGGTCAGGGCTGTCTTTCTGTGGACCCTGTACACAAGGATTTTAAACTCAGGGCTTTGACCCCTTGCTTCATTGTACAGCTAGAAAAAGCAGAACTTGGTCTACACAAGAGATAATAAAAAAGCCTGTAGAGTTGAGTAAAGTTCAGAGATGCATAAGTCTTGTGAGACTTCTGATTGTTGCCCCAAGAAAACAAAATGAACTTTATGCATCAGAAAAAAAAAATATATAGTTCTGTGAGAAAATGAAGAGTTAGCTGGTAAGTAAAAAAGACAGGAGAGAGAAAAGGTGAAAAAATTTGTTGCGGGTTGTGACACTGCCTATGCTGCCTATTAGGAAAGATCACTTCATGTCCTGAATATGAAACAGCACATGAGAATACACCCTCTTTTCCAGGCAATTGGAAAGTATCAACAAAGCCAAGTTTCACTTCACATTCTCAGGTACACACCCACATTTGCATTCTTCCATGGACATTTGAATTCACACAACAAGGAATCTCCACTTCTTGGATGCAGGAGGATAGCCCAAAGTTTCAATGAATTTCCACTGAGTTGCATAACACAAAATTACAGTACTTGTTCTACAGAAAGAACACAAAATCTATTCGGGGAGCAGGATGTGCTCACATGAAAAGCCAGACAAATAGCAATACACACTAGCAGCACTCATGATGGCACTAGATATTAGAGGATAAGTGCCCAAGTACAGCAGATAACAAGGGCTCCCTGTGAAAGGAGGAAGGAGACATTCTGTTTTGAAGAGGTCAAGGGAACTTCAAGGAAGAGGCAGAAGTGGAATCAGACTATGAAGAATGAATACAGTTTGAAAAGGCCTGAGCAATGAATGGTAAAAAGAAAGATTTGGTGAGGSCAATAAAATATGACTGATACACAAGATTGCAAATGGCCGTTAGTATGAGGCAAAGGGAAACTTCCATTTATTTAGTGAGAACTTATTTTATCTATGATTACAGCACAGAAGCAATTCTTTGATAATGCTTTGCCTGGTACATGATACACACACAACTATTGTGGATTTTTAAAT